AGTTCACTGTTCAAAAAAGTCAATTGAATAGGTGGAGGGTTGGCCTTCGAACTACTCTAACCCTGCCACATTCTGTATGTGCCTGTCCCAAGTCAGGAGCCTTTATTTCAGTGGTTGTCGCTTGTTGCTGTGTTACATATGTTTTTTCGTTCATTATTTTGTACATAAATAAGACCGTTATTTTTCTCGTTTGAATTGTTTTATTTGTCATTTCGGAGCCTTTTATAGCTGACAATGCTGTTTGGGATTTGCTAATTGTTGAAGGCTGTACGGTGACCTATAGTTGCTAATTTGTAGATCATTTGGTCTCTTGTGGAGAGTTGTCTCATAGGCAATCATTCCACATCTTCGTTTTAAAATAATTGAAAGGTATTTATAGGTATATTGTAAATGAAATTCTTCTCAATATGTCATTGGAATTTGTATTGTTAAACTGCACTCAATCAAATAAAGCCATGGTATTTTATTATGAAAAACGATTGTTACTTTCGTTTGGTACAGCTTGGTTTAGTCCTTTCTACATCCGAATTGTCTCAAATTACTTCCAAATTTTCCAGTACAGGATTAGTGATACCAGTCTTGGCATTTTGTACATTTGACCCAGTCCTCAACATCACTGTTGTCGTCAAAATAGCAACCGTCACAAAATGCACAATATAAGCTATTATCTTTTTCGTTATCTTTGTCATCTTTGCTTTTTTTTCAAGAGGCGCCTTTTCCGATTTTTTTGCACTAGTTGTCTTCTTCGTTGTTCGTTCAGAACTTTTTGGCTTTGTTAGCAAATTAATTAGTTTTTCTTTTCTCTTCCCATCTCAATTGCGTCTTTTTTCTTCCTTTTCTGTTTCTTTCTGTTCCTTCATTTTTATTTTCTCTTTCATTTCGATGAGGTAGTTCTTGTCAGTTAACAGCCTTGCTGTTGTCATTGTTTTAGTTTTTTTCTTTGGTTGATTTTTCTTAACTTCGGGAATTACTAAAATTTCATAAAAATTCTCCCGTTCAGAGTTAGTATACGTAACTGTATTTACTGTCATTTCTGGTTGGTTTCTAATAGCGTCGATCATCGGATATGCTGGACAATCGGGTACTGCATGAACATCAGCGATGACAGCGATGGTGTTTGTCTATGTTTCTGCAATTTTATTTGGGGTAGATTGTGGCGTTTCAACCATGGGTGTACTACGGTCAGTATTTTCATTTTCTAGAATGTCCTCCGTTTGTGGTGACTTGGTATCTAGTACAGATGTTAAAGACGGTCCATACGCTTCTGCTGGTATGACTCTTTGATTAAAGGGATAAATTCCAGTAGAAAGAAAACCGCTAAAAATGTTAACCATATTCATTGAAGACTGAAATGCGGTATTAAATAGTCCACAAAAGTCATACCTTGTTACTTGTCTGCTTGGATTGTCTCTCATAAATTTCTGACATTGTTTGTTGTAATTTGTCTTCATTGGTCCGAAAATAGATCTGTATGTAGTATGTGGGGGGAGACAAAACATTTCAATATTGTTCTGTTTTGCTTTCTCTAAAGTATCAACATTCAGGTGGGTTTCATGACCATCAAGTATCAAAAGAACGGGTCTGGCTGGTGGCAAGTTTTTCAAGAAGATGTTGGTGACCACTTGTCAAATAGATCACTGTCTATAAATGAGGATTTGCTACATCCAAATTCTGAGCCAGGTGGTGCGTTTCCTTTCATAGCTTCACTTACCCGCTGCCCTTTAAAGATTATCATAGGTGGTAAAACCCGTGCCTCATACATAACAGAGTACTGTTACATTTTCACCCCTTTCTCCGCTTGTTATTTCATATACCCTTCTTTTCCCTCTTTTCCCGACAATCTTTTCTGGGTTGTGTACGGTGCTTATTCTCGAATCATCTGCATTAAATAGTTGTTGTTTTTTGTCTTTAACACCTGAAGATTCCATAACGGATCCTAGTTTTTCAAAATAATTAGCAACAACGGATGGGTTTAGCATAGATGATATCGCTGCAATCAATCATTCTGGGTTCCTAACCGACAAAATTGGATGTCTTTCAGAGAAGCTTATCCATCAATCATATCCAGCGGACTTCTTCTCTTCACTGAAGCCATGTATCCCAAGTTTGTTTGCCATCTGGTATGCTAGTTTCCTAATGTTAATCACTGTCAGCCCAAAATCCCGTTCTTCCATTTTCAAGATATAGCCGACTAAAATATTTTCTTGGTTTCTGTTCAAGATTGGTGGTTTTGTTGGAGGTGCTGTAATGTCTTCCATATTTAGTCTCCCTCTAAGCGTCGACCTTGGAACATTATATAAAACCGATGCCTTCTTTTTTGCCATTCCTCCTCTCACTGCCAAAATTGCATTTTCCATGGCTACCATGCTCTATTGTCCCTGTTTTGATGTCAAGCCTTTCCTTTTTTTTTGTCATATGTATTTTCTGGAAAAAAAAGAATAGATCAATAAAAACCTACAATTTATTTACTAGTAAAGAGTTATTTAATATCTATTTTAACATAATTTACGTGTAAAAGGTATTACTGTTCTTTTATTATTAAGGCTAATTTATTTTTAAAAGGATCAATAGATGATAACAGTTTTTTTTTTTTTTATTAAATCGAGTTATTTAATTTGGAAAATTTGGAAACGAACATTGGCGAGATTCTAAATTATTATAACGACAAACGTGAATATAAAGGTAATACTTTTCAACATACATGTATATAACTTGTTGAATATAATAATAATAATAATAATAATAATAATAATAAAATATACTTTATTTAAAGAGGGTAAAATCAGTAAAATATAACTTTGAGATGACAACACATGCGTCGAGTTCAAGAATTTACAGGTTCTCAAGCAGTGAATAACATGGCAACATTATGAGAAATATTTCAATTCTTCATTTTGTATTACTTACAAGTTACAAAATGTATGTCTTTAATATTCCGAAGTTTGTCAGTCAGGTAGTAAATTGATGCAATAATGTCTGTTTTCATGTGCAATTCAACCTGAATAAAAGTTGGTTATAAAAATTAATTATATTGAAGAATAACTCAGGAATTTCCAATTACTTGAATTAGTCACTAATTTTGAAAACAATGTAAATATCGGTACAACTGTGTATAATTTATAAATATACTGTCTGTTCAATTAATTTTTTGTTGATTTTTTATTGTTTTTTTTTTTTGTAAAATTATTGTCAAAAGCAGGAGGCTTTGTTGCAACACCCCTGTGTGTTTATGTTTTTAATTGCCACAATTATCTACAGGTTCTCCGTAAAAAAACCCCACTACAAACAGACAAGCTTGGGCAAAAAAACCCAATAAAAAGTCAACAAAAAACTTAATTGAATAGACAGTATATTTATAGTAGATCTACACGTACTTGCCGACATATTCTGCATGTAAAATATGTGTTATATTTTTAACACATCTTATTATGAAATAAAGAATAATGAAATGAAAGACATATACTTTTATCAGTCATTTGGGAAACCGTGTGCATTCACTTTGATGTCAACTAGTTGATTTCATACGAATATTGCTGTGGCGACTTACCCGATCCACATGGGGTAATTCGCCACCTTTCGTATTTGCACGTTTTCTGTATTCACCGATATGAAATGGCACACCTGGGGCTTAAAATCATATAATGTATATGTCGAAGACTTCGCTTGTCATTGATTTGATCACATAGAAGTTATTTTACTTTTTAACGTAAGCAAAACATTTGGTTCTCATTGAAATAATTGATTTCCATTACACCATGACGTCACAAGTCACAAAAATAGCGGAGCTTTCAGCAAATCATGACCACGGTTGCATGAAGTTTACTACAATATTTTACCACACAGCACTAGAATGTTGCATATTTAAATAAATACAAACCATATAACTATATTTATGCCATTTCTTATGTGTTTAAGTATATATTTTGTTGAAAAAATATGATATTGGTGCCATCCCCCTTTTTGCGGGAATATCTGAGACTGTGGTCCATAAGCACGTGAAATTAGATTAAAAATTGTAAGATTTTATTTTCAAAGCTTGCCATAAATCTTATTTTTGACATGTGCTTACACTGTTTTTGTATTTTGACACAATTTTCCAAAACTTGGAGTATTAAACTTTCAGTAAAAAATCTGAACTACGCCGTTTCAACATTCTAAGGAGTAAATATTCAGTTTCAAAATATGCTGAAATGTTGCGCATTTTTCTGTCTTACTATTTTTCCAAAAAATAAAATGCACTTACCTGTGAAGTGTCTATTCCAAATATCTTGACTCAAATGAGATTGATGACGACAAAGACGCGATGACGTAAGTGACTGCTTATGGTGCAGCTCTTTACTATGATTTGTTTTCTTTGATATGGTTAGCAGGTATTATTTTCGCTTGCATCTTCATACGGAAATATTTATTTTATTGATTCTATTAATCAGTATGTAAAAAATTTTAATTGCATAGGACTTACTCGACTTAAGGATGTTTGCTACTCTTATTTTTGACATTTTGTCAGGTATTTGGAATCCTCTAGTATTATATATGTATTCCCAATACAAATTTTGCCCGCTAAAATTAAAATAGACCACTTTCGAGTTCGTTGCATTTCCGTCAAAAATCTTTGGTTTTAGTGGACATCATTCGTGCATTTAGGGGTATCGTCACTTCCTTCCCATGTTGAGCGAGCGGTTAAAAAAATATGATGCTATATTGCACGAATTATTCGGCAAATTGAATTCCTAGAATTGGTAATCAGCACTGCTGTCATTAGGGAATTGTGATTAAATAGTACGGAATAAACATTTTTTTTCTAGTTTATCCTGCATAATGACGATCACGAAGACGCCTGATGAACTTTAATAGTGCAGGGATACAGGCGACCCCCTTTATCTGGTAAATGACGTCATAAAGGCGCGCATTATTGACAAACTTTTTCGGAGAAGGACATTACTCGAAAGTGGTCTATTGATGGTTGTTAGTTATTTTTATTATGACAATGTCTTTTTCAGTGCAAACTGTCAACAGTAATTTAGAAGGAGAGCTAAGTTCAATTCGATCAGCCATAAATCGAGTAGAAAGTCATCAGACATCAATGTTCTCTGACATCAGCAGTACTTTCAGCCGTCTTACATTAAATGAGATAAGAGGTAATTGAATTCTTCTTCTGAAAGAAGTTGTTAGTCATTATTTTTGTTATTTTTATGTTGAGTTCAAGTGGTAATTTTGAACAAACTATATTTTTTATAGACTGTTGTACAAGTGATCAGTATTTGGACACCCACCTCCTTTCACAGATAAACACTTTTGTCCTGAATAAGTAGCCAGATTGTTGTTTTCATGACAAGTTTTTTCTTACATAAACTTTAAATTAAGCACTGCTTTCTTTCATATACAGCTGCATAGAACAGTAGAACAGAGTCTGGTCAGACCTTTTTGATCAAAACGTGGACACGTGATCTGTGTTTAATTTATTCCATGGAATTTTTGTATTTCAATTCTATACATAAATTATCTTCGGAAAATGATTTAAGTCCTGGTTTTTCAAATTTCCAAGACGTTGCTACAGTTAGGATCAGTTTTTACTTTTTTTTAAACCTTTCAGGAGAAATGTTCTGACACATTTTGGAATAATTTCTGTCATTCGCTGTTTTACCCTAGAACTTGTTTGGACAGTTCTTTGGACAGATCTAATGAGTTTTTACAACTACTGGGTTTATGCCACTAATGGTGGACGCTTCGTCCTCGAAAGTATCACCAGGCTAGTACTTTTCTGGTGACATGTTTTGTCATCGTTACGGTCATTGTTATAAAATTTTACTGTTTATCATAGATGTTTGAATTGTTCGATATACATTCCGGATTACAGATTTTTTGCAAAAATATTCAGAGATTTTTGGTCCTCAATGCTCTTCTATTTCTTACTTGATTTAGACTTTGAACTATTGTGATTCCAGCGTCCCGGACGAGTCTTGTGAAAACGACACGAACGTCTGGCGTACAAAATTATAAGCCGTGTATATTATAGATGTGTTTTCATAACCACTGGGTCGATGACACTGCTTGTGGACGTTTCATCTCCCGGGGTATCACCAGCCCAGTAGTCAGTACTTCTGTGGCGACATTTATTATCATCGTTACGGTCATTTTTATATCATCTTACTGTAAATACACTTTTAGATCCGTCGAAAGATTACCTTGGACGTATTTGGTAACACTTTTCGGCATTTTTGGTCCTCAATGTTCTTTAGCTTCTTACTTAATTTTGCCTTTTAACTAAGTCTGAGTCTTGTTAAGGTAGATGGGGGTCTAAATCAGAATCCATCGATTTTTTTAATAATTTGTTAAAATGTAGTTTATATTATACCTTATTCAAAAATATAATAAAAAGTATGGGTCACCGGGCTTTTTTTCATGCTACGGGTTGTGCAAAATTGTCAGATTTTGTATAGATTATGCATGGAAAACCAAATCTTGTGTGGTAAAAAGAAAACTACACCATAGAATTTAAAGATAAAATTCGAGAAGCTAGCTCTAATAACATGCTTTCAGATAAGAAAAAGAAAAAATGGGGTCACCGAACTCGTTTTCTTGCTACACAATAAAAAAGGTAAATTTACAACACATTCTATTATAAAAATGACTTTATCTGAGTTACCTTCCTGATGTTGCAAAGTTGAAAAAAGTGATTCAAGCAAAAAATTCTGTTTTGTTTGTAAAGCCGTAAATATGATAACACACATAATTTTCTATGTTAAAAAGAAAAGTCTTGCACATGTATTACATACTAATCTCGAAATTTGCACATTTCATTTAAGATCTAGACCAATTGGTATCTGCTTTTTCAAAATCCAAGATGGAGGAAGACACCCGAGCCACCTTAAGACGAAACGCGCGTCTGGCGTACACAAATATAATATAAAATTAAGAAGATGTGGTATGATTGTCAATGAGACAACCCTCCACCACAGACCAAACGACATTGAAGTTAACAACTGCATGTCACCGTACGGGCTTCAACAATGAGCAAAACCCATACTGCATAGTTATCTATAAAAAGCCCCGAAATGAAAAATGTAAAATATTGCAAACAAGAAAACTAACGCCGTGATGTTTGTAAAAAGCAATAATCGATTGCTTGATTGATTGGTGTTAACGCCAATTTCAGCACTATTGTGCTATATGGCGGTCAGTTATTATTAGTGGAGGAAGCCGGTGTGAACGGAGAGAACCATCGACCTTCGGTAGGAAAACTGACAATCCCAGTCAATTAAGATTGAATTCAATTGCACCTGCCACGTGCAGGATTCGAACCCACAACACCAGTGTTGACAGGCTAGTGATACAATAGTTCGACTACTTAGACCACTCGGCCACTGAAGCCCCAACAATAATAGTACTAAATTCTGATAAAATGCCTTCTATATATTCCATTTTACTCCGGCAACAATTTAAATTTGCGCAAGACGGACACATCATGTGCTCTTGGCGCAGCTTCTGTAACTTGATGCGTTTTATTGGCGCAAGTATTTTTTAATTGAAAACGGCTAAAATTGAGGAGTCATCAATACTTCCCATTAGTAAAATTTTTTTTCAAATTTGACAATCAGAGCTCCTACAAATTGAACAGAAAAAAATACAATAGACATCTCGTAAAGTCGTGCAGATTCATTGCCCCAAAATATTAGAAAAAAAACCAAACCGAATTGGTAACGGCTTAATTATCTTGGTGATTTATCCATATACATTTTAACAAAACATTGATATTTTTATAACTAGGCTATGTTGGATGTTTCGTGGACGACAGCAATCGATTGCTGAAGCATAAGTTAATGGTCTTAGACCGGATTACTTTAGAGAAATGCAGACATCACTGCAGGGGATACAGATACCTTGGATTACAGGTAAAAACAGCAACTATTTTCAGTCGATGTTTGAAATTAATATTATTGTACAGGAAATGTTATGTTAGTCCGTATAATCAGTAGAGGTCGTCTATAATTGTCACCCCAAAGGTGGTTATTTCTAGAGGGGTTGGTCAGAGTTGGGAATTATGAAAGTGTACCAAAAATTCTGGTCACAGTTTCACAATAATTTAATTTTATCAAAGACTCATAGTAACATTTAAGAACTAGCAAAGATTTGTTTTAAAAAAGATTGTACACAGGCTATTGAAAAATCCAAATGATAATATAAGTTGAGACAACACCATTTCAAAAGAAAAAAAAAAAGAAAAAAGTCCAAGTCCACAAACACATGATAGAAAATTAAAGATTTGGTAAGAAGAATCCAAACAAAACAGGGGTGAACTCGGATTCTTCTGAATGATATGAAAAACCTGTTATAATAGTGACACTCTACGTGCTATTGTGTTCAGATCAGATACTAGTAGTTCGTTATCGGTGATGAGACATCATTAATAGCGGATTGGTAAATGTCTCTTGTTTTACCGAAGACATATACGTAACAATCGATAATTAAAAATTCTCTTACCCTTAAGTGTGACGGAATGTCAATATTAAATTGAGAATACGAAGTTTGTCAAAACAAAGGGCTGACAATGTTATGGCCGATATAACAACACATTGAAAAATATTAAAACAATGTTAACCTGTTTACAAATACGAAGAGTTCATACCAAATCCAAATACAACCCAAACGAATAGATCAACTTTCATTACATTTTGGTAATAGAAAACTTTATATTTTAGCATGGTCAATGGTGCGTTTGTGGAGACAGTCTCCATAGGCCAGGATATCCCCAAGCATCTGAATTGCTATGCAACACGCCATGTACAGGGGAAATAACAAGGATGTGTGGCGCGGCATGGAAAAATTCCATCTATGAAGGTCAGTGAAACTAGAGGGGTTGTCAGATAACGTTAAAGTCAGTACCAAGTTGAAATAACTTGGTAAAGCCGAATGGTTAACTGGATAAAGAAATATGACCACATGATCTTGTTCCGTCCAATGTTCAAACCGTTTGTCTATGCGGTATATATAAATACGCGTTTACGTTCGGTCGGAATGAGGATGTCACATTTGATTCTCTGTATTGAGATAGTTCAACACACTCTGATCGTACAAAAACGCCGTGTACTATTTATAGGACCCTTTTAATTTCTAGGCACAACTTCTGTCCATATTCAACATATCTTTGTTCTAGCAGCAGTCTATGTTTCCGCCCTCCATCCTGCACACCCAATATATGTTTTGTTAGACTTTTTCTTGGCTTGGATATGCATGAAATATATGTAATTGAACGTAAATCGAACATTGATTAATACATTATCTAGTTTTTGCTTTATATATTAAAAAGCAATACCGAGTTTTTGAATTTTATGAGAAATTAAAAATTTGTTAAAAATGCTGAAGAAACAGCAACCTAAATACTCAAAAAGTATTCAAAGGTCAACACAGTCACGGTCTTCAACAATAGACACATGTCTAGACAAATTTAGCTTTAAATCTTACTGAGTCTAAAATTGTAAAAATATTAAACAAAGGCTATTAAAGAAGAAAAAAAAGGCGGAAGATACCAAGGAGATCGTCAATCAATAATAAACTGTCAAAATGACAAACACGTTAAAATTATGACGAAAGACATGGATATACTGTATTAAAAGCACTCTAACAACGACAGATAAATCTTTCTGTCAAGGTTATCAGGTATAGTGTTATCTAATTGAAAAACAGATCCTGTGTCCACGCTTCGCTTACAAGGATAGGACAACGCTCCGTTCTATTCTCTGTTTTAAGGCCTTTCGGGATCCTCTGGTTTTGTAATGATACACATCTTCATAAATTTCATGGCTGAAATTTCATTAGCTGATGTAATAAATGCACCAGAACAAAAAGTAAAAAGGAATGTTGTCAGATCCTTGTAAGCAAATCGTGGACACAGGATCTGTCTTTTAATCAGAATGGTATAGTGCTGCTTTATATTGATAGAAACTCATAATAATAGCAGCATGAACCGAACCTAAATGAAGTATGAATAAAAAGACAAGTTTGAGGGTAATATACTTCACTTAAATCGCAATACAAAATGAAAAACAAAAGACATTTAGAGGTGAAGAACTGTTCTTTATACCATATATCAAGCTCTTTATAGCTCTAAGTCCAGATAAGCATGAATAAATTTAACAGATCATTAAAATATGTTATCAACAACAAACTTCCGACTTCTTTTAAAAACCCGTATGTCAAGAGACTTTAATCCTATTAGTCAAAGAATACTGCTATCAAATTTGATTAACGGAATGTGTGTTTCTGAAGTGACCATTATCAGATATGCTAGACGCCATACATTAGAACGCTAGATTCACATAATAGATTTAAAGCGTACAAAGAAAAAGAACAACAGTTAAAGAAAAAAAATTGGAACGGTGTGAGGACAATACAATAAATGCAATTACAAAGTTTTACTATTGATGAACGTTTCGAGTATATTTCTTAGCAATTTTCTATAACTTAAGTGACGTAATGCAGCTGATTGTTTTTTTTTTACAGTTTGAGTTCATCTTAAAAGCAACGACGTCATATTACAGTTGATATGCCTCGTCATAAATAAATAATAAATCAAAAACTTGATTTTATTATTATAGTTTGAGAATCAAAATTATTTGTACCTAAAATAAAATCAATGATTTAGCCTACAAAGAGATATGCATATTAGAGGCTAATGTTGTTCACCGATGTTCAAATCTCATAAATCCACTTAGAAGATATTTTCTCAGTATTACAAATAGATTTGACAATTTTTGGGTTGGTTCTGTTATTATTATGCATATGAAAATAAAAAGGTGACATGATTGCCAATTAGAGAAATAGCAACTAAAGACCACAGGAGTAATGTCTGAATAACTACACGCCAACCTAGCCGGCCTACGGTTTCCAACAACGAGTAAAAGTCATACCGTATTGTAAGCTATAAAAGGCCGCATGATGTTAAAATTTGTAACTATTTAAAAGAGAAACCCTACAACCTGATCTATACTAAAACAATAAACGGAAACAGCCATAACAGACAGCAACACACGATAACAACAGGACCACAGGTTCTTGGCTTGGGACAGGTCTGTAAAGAAAACATTACGGAATGTATCCCTTTAGAAAATTGTTTCATTGTTTCCAACTTTTTTATATAAATCATCTAATTTAACCAATTTTCGAGTTCAAGTTTCTATAAAAGATACATAAATGCAAAATGTAATGTAACATTAGGAGAATATTTATGACTTTCAATATTTAGTAATTCAAAGAAATAATTGTACATTTTTCCTTCTGTCTACAAATCTGATTTCTTAAAAAAAAAACCATTTCTCTTTCCCACTTATCTACTGAATTCATCTTAACTGACCACAATTAAACACAAAACACAACGTTAACTGATCACAAAAAGCCCCGCTTGCATTTAAATTTACACGAAATGACTTTGGGTTTCTCGATTGACCTCCATAAAGTATGGTAAAAAGACATATCCTATAGGGATATTTTGTGGAAAATGTCTTGCATCGAAAATATATTCTGCATATAGGTGACAGGAAGTCACGTGATCTTTTTTTTCCGCACATGGCTGACAAGTCGAGGGCCTATAAGAGCCTTAGGGTGGTCGTCACATTGGATTGAACTTTTGCGAATGCAAACCAAAAATAACTTTATTTCCTGCCTTTTTATAGGATTTGACAGAGAATTTACCGCAAGTTTTTCGTTGTTTCTAGGAATTTACTCTGACAGAAATCAAATGCTATTTTCCCGCACTTTGTTCCCTTTTTATGTTTACTTATTGATGAAACTGCGCTTTCATTTTTTTTCTTTTAATGTTCACAAACGGAGAAAAACAGGTTTTCCGTTTTTTATGTTCCTGGGTAATTTTTCAATGGAGGTTATTTGCATCTTTTGAGGATGATGTGTATGATAAGAATGACCGTTCAATCTATTTTAGCTTTCGTAGTTAGGACTCTTTATTGTCGTGAGTTTATGTCACATTAACTCACAACTGTTACAGTCAAAAAGGTATGCACATTTCACTCTTTTTGCCTTCCGCTCAGGGAATATAAGCCCCAAGCCGGAATGTCACATTATATACCCTGTCTGAAACCTGAGTTATTTTGCTAAAACTAACAATATATTTTTGTCTTCTATAATAACGTTTTTTTGGCTCGAGCGTACTTCAGGAAGATTTAAAAAAAAACCACATACTGCATGCACAAACGCCATATCTGACCTACTATATTAAGTGTTGGACATGTTTGGGATCCCACACAGTCTTAGGTCAAAAGTTTTTCACCACTCGAAAATACCGAAATTATTCTTATAATTGCTTTTTTTAAATATTGTCAAACTAATTTGAGGATCGATTTTGATGAACTTTTGAAAGTAAAACTCATTTTTATGGTTATAATGAAATACTTTTATGACATGACACAAATGAGAAATCATTATTTGTATGTACAAATAATGAAATTTAGTGAAATTCTTCCTATATAGTCGTGTGATTTTTCGTGAAGACATTAACAGTCATTTTCTTAAAAATATAAATCATAAAATTATTTCTTAATTATTGCAAGAAACTGCATAGTTTACATGTCTGTATTTAATGGGAAAAAAATCATTCAAGTCGGACAGGAAATATATTCAGTAGAAATGCTATTAAACATTGTGTTTTTTTGTAAAACATATAGAGAAATTTCAAATGGCGAAGCACTTTTGACCTCTGACTGTACATATCTGATTTGATTAGAGTGGAAGATTTACCTAAGACTGGTAGCGACTATCTATTTTTATAAAATTTATTATTTTGACATTTCTTACTTCTATCTTGATATTTCCTAGTTTCACCCAAATACTAAGCAACACGAACCCCACAACATACTGGGGCCATCTTGGGGTAGACTAAGAACAGTCAAGTCGGAAGTGAGAAATGTCTACTCGGAACTGAGAAATGTAAACTAGGAAATGAGAAATGTCAACTTTGAACCGAGGAATGTCAACTTGGAACTGAGAAATGCCAAATGGGAACTGAAAATTGTCAACTGGGAAATGAGAAACGTCAAATTTGAAATGAGATATTTTAACAATAAAACCTGTCCTTCGTACAGAATAGCAGAACCCAAGACATACATTCAATGATATTTTTGTTTGGTTGATTTATAAGTGGTTAAAATTTAGCGATATATATTGCATGCATCTTCAGGATGACAACTTGTCAAAAAGATAATTATGTAATGCATATGTAAAAAGTTCATTTTGTTCAAATATTTATTTACAAAACGTGATACGTATTGAAGAAGTTGATATCCCTCCAAGAAGGTATGCAAATCACAAATTTTAATCGATTAGTTTCAGTGTTGTGTGAAATAAAATGCCATTAACAAAAGTACTATAATTTCCTGTGTATCACTGAATAGTTTTAAAATGTATAATTATACTAGTTATATATGTTTGATTACATTTTATTTTTAAAATGATTGATAAAAACAAGTACAACTAAACTACTTTACAACAGTAAAGCACCGCAATTGGTTGATCTTTCCATTGATTTACTGTCTAGTCTTTGCAGGGAAAATTAAAAAGATATATATATATATATATATATTTATTTTGCATGCACACGTATAAAAATTGCGGTTTTTATCCAACGCAATCATAGGTTTGAACGTTGTTTTCAATTTAGACTTTATATATATATATATATATATATATATATATATAAACGCCTAAAAAGTGTACACAACAACACCAATAACAAAAAAAGGAACTATAAATGTAATTATTTATAAATATTTCGGATAACAGATATCCTTCATCAGTAAATATGATTGTGATGAAGGATATCTGTTATCCGAAATATTTATAAATAATTACATTTATAGTTCCTTTTTTTGTTATTGGTGTTGTTGTGTACACTTTTTAGGCGTTTATATAATTTATTTATTGTGTACGTGTATCGTTACTCGTAACGATCCAGCGCCCTCGTGGGAAAAATCGTTGACTATTATTCAGAATTTTCCCCATTCGGAATATGAAAACTTGCACCATCTTCTTAAGACTTATTTGTATAAATTTGTTATTTATAAGTCCCTCAAGAATATAAAGAAAGGGTCAATCGACCAATTAAAAATTATATCTATTAACAAAATCTATATTTATAATAAAAGAGGAATTGGATTGGTTTTGAAACAGCCTCATTAGAGTGGATAGGAATTCCTTTATAATCTGTTATTAACGTTGCAAACGAAAACGTTTACATATTTCATTCTCTCTTGGCAGTTGAATAAACAAAGTATTGTATATTTCTACTGCAAATAAGTATATAATGATAATAAGGTTTTATGTCTACTTTCTTAAAAAACAATATTATATAAAGATAAAGAAAGTAAATATTCACTTTTTCCGTGTATTTCTTTCATTCAATATGGTCAATATCAAAATAGTTTTACATAGTTACGTTTTAATATTAACTTTCATAATGAAAATGAATATATTTTCTATTTTTGGGCATATATCAAAAGAAGAAACCTTACTCATCGCTGGTGGAGAAAGTCTTAATTACATTATATTTCTGACATTGTAACCAGTTTTATAACCGGCGCTTCGGTATGGGTACCGTTTTAATTGTAAATTCTGTTTGTACATTTTCAGTACTTTAATCATTACTATTTTTATGATAATTATTATATTTATTAGTAGTAGTAGTATGTGGTTTTGTATATATATATATATATATTCCTGCTTTTGACACGTAATGCTATAAAAAGTCATCGTGTTTTCAAATAATATATGTCCTGCAGGTTTAGTATCGCAAAGCTTATTAATGATATTTGGAGATTGGTTTATGATGTAGTGGATTTAGTGGTCAAATCTGACTTACTTTAAGTTTGATTCTCTATTTAAAACAAAATTGTGTTTTTCTTTGTGTTTTTATTATTATTCTTAAATGTTTTCCATTATCTTGTGGAATCATGGGATTTTTATTTTGCTTTCACAAATATACATCAAAAGAATAATATATCTCATTACAATGAACATTGCTCGTAAAAAAATGTTCACTCGTTCTCATTTCTATTATTGATTTTGAAATTAGATATTAATGCCCATGAAATAGTCATCAATTGAAACTTTCATAAAGTAACATTTACTGTTGATAACTTACAATACTACAACCTCCAATAAACTAAAGACATTTATACATAAGATGTTGAATATAATTAAAAGATTGCTTATCTGCTATACATTTTTTTTATTCTCAGATAAAATGAATGTGCGAAGATGCACACAAATGTTGATTTCGACTACATTTTCGGCTTGTTAACCATGGTGAACAAATAGAATAAGATAAATACTGAAAATATTATAAAATGTATCAATAATAAGTTTGATTAACCTTTTCGTCTTTATTATTTTACTAAATCTTCAGTAATATGAAAAAGTAATGTCAGAATCCTAAATTACACATTTGAAATGTAATTCGATAAGTTTAGGAAAAATTGCAATCCATATATAGTTTAAAAACAGTTGGTAGTATCTTTGATATACATATTTTTTTATGTGCATATATTGCTTTAAATCAAAAAATCGTTTTATTGGTTCCTTTAAATATAATTACACGTTTGGATTGGTTTCTTTAAATATAATTACTACAAGAGCACTGGGAGTACTGTTTCACGGAGGAATATGTGTACAAACGGTATTATACATATACTGGAACAACAATTATGGCGATACAACAACATTTATAGAGCAAAATGTTTGAAGCGAATACTGAAATGACTTAAGGAAATTAATTAAAATACCAAAAAGATTAACATAAAAACAAATAACAAGTTTAAAGATACATTACCCTCGCATTATGAAAGTTGAGATAGAATGCTCTGAACATAATGCATTATCATGCTTCACATGGTTTACCTTGCTAAAGAATCAGAGTAATGTATTGCAGAGATTATTCTTAATTTTACTTAACAGTTTTGAGTATATAATAAAAAGTGTGTGCAATTACATTATTTTTTTTGCTCTTCAATTTTTAAATTAAATAAAATATTCCAATAATATCTGCAGACTAAATAATTATATAATGAATTTTCCTTGCAACTATATATTGTTAATGGAGCTAGACGAAGTGTTAGTTCTTTTCACGTATCGAAAATTAGTGAATGGTAGCTCTTTTTCGCCATATTGGAATGATCCTGCTCCATAAAAGGTACAGTCTTTTGCATCAAAGTCCGAACTGATCTCTGATCCGTTGTATCTTGTTTGACTTCTGTTTCTAGATGAAACCTTTTCTTTTTTGTGCCTATAAGAACAACATGTATTGCTATAGCTATTAAATACATATTCAGTTGATAAGATGCAACACTTGATAAATACAGATTTGAAATAATTATTAAAAATAAGAAGATATTGGCAAATTATACTTTTAGAAAAGATAATTTTAATCATACTTTTCTGGTAGCAGTACACTAAGTAATTTACGATTGAATGTGCAAGCATTTGTTTTGAATTTAGCATGTGTTTGTTTGGACAGATTCAATCTTGATTTCTGGTTCCGATAAAGCTTATATATTTTAGACGTTGTCCTTGTTAAATGCTGCATGTTGCCACTCTTTTATGTTGGTTAATCTTTTCAAATAAAACCATGCGACATTATCTTATTCTGATAAATATATGTATACAGTCAACTCTCATTATCTCATAGTTGATCGGATTGACAAAAATGATCTCAGATTTCAGTAGTATAAATATCATACAAATTTACAATTTTAAATATGAGATAACGAGAGCCAACTGTATACTTCAATCTATTATCTCCGAACTTAATTAATTCTTAATCAAGTTTACACAGTATAGGTCTGTTATTAAAAATGTACACATTTCATTCTTAGACGTCCTAGCTTTTGAATCTTCAGTTTTGTTACAGTTACCTATCAGGATTTCTATGTGTAATGCATAAACTTTTCCCCTGACAACACTCATTATCTTATTTTATCTAAAAATACTGTTATCATCTGAAATAAAATTCTGACAAACTATTTGAAAATAAAGCTTTTTCTACTATATTAAACAAAAATCTTGTGGTTCTACCAAACCATAAAAATAGTAGCATTTGAAAAATATATTGTGAATTGTGTTATGATATTGTAATGATCATATTTATTTATCTTGGCCTATTCTGTGGCCTTATAATGTTTATATAATTGGGTTATAATAGTTGTTTACAAAATAATGTTACAATTGTGCAGTTTAGAAATCACTGGAACAATCATAGATACTGATTGAATGATTAGAACTTTCTATTTGACTTACATCATAATTCCGGAATGATCATAATCAACGATGCGTAATTTAAACTTCTAAAGTATTCTTGAAGTTTCCCTTCTATAGTTTTCTAGGAGTTTCACTTCTACAGTGTTCTAGAAGTTTCCGTGACAACTATATATACAGACACCGAAATTAGACAGATGGACAGTAATATACTTGTTTTCTCAGAATTTCTCTGGAGTTGTTGGATTGACATTTTTATTCACGAACGACATCATACTAGATTGTGAACTTATTGGACATATATATTCCATTGGATTCCGTACAGTTAAGAGAAGAATTCCGGATAAAGAAAAGACAAAGGATCGGACATATATTCTAACAGTTAAGTTAACATTTCTATTAGTATAATTTTTCTTGTTAAATTTATTATTGATTTTTGTCTTTTGTTGGCTACAGTTTAAAGGTGATTTCTGACCGTAACAATAGTCTCGACCCATTATAAATTCTGAAATACAAAACATACCTGATACTTCTGTAGTAAAGGCTTACTATGGCAGTTACAATAAGGGCCACAGTAATAACGGCACCAAATGAACTTGAAATGACATAAACTACTCTCATTGTATCGCCTGAAAAAAGTTTTCATGCACATTTCACTTATTATGAATTGACAAAAATTGAATGCTTTCTTTTTAATTAAAAAAAACCAGTGGAAAATTGAAACGTTTGAAGTTTTATAAAATAGTGAAGTATTCGGTTTTAATAAATTACTGTTATTGCTGATCCAAATAGGACGGTAAAAACCCCCACTTTTGCAAAGAGTACAGGGAAAAATATTTAAATACTAAAGGCCGATGGAATTGATCATGGGCTTAAACAGTTGATTATTTAGTGCATACTTAATTCTAAAAGCGTTTAGTTTTTGTCCTTGACATCCCGATTCGTAAATAATTTATTGTATGATTCAAAGCCTGATGATTGCATATGTTTTCCCTTTCAGAAGGTATTGAACATGTTGAATGCGTGTCTGGAATAACTAAATGGCGAATACAGAAATAGGTCAATCATACCGTCACAAGTAAATCTTAACAACTTGAACACTAATGTCTTGATGAGCATACTTTTCTTTACAATTCTGAGGTGTTATACACATACTTACTATATCTAGACTGCAATGTAGATTGCATGTCAATTATATATCGAGTTGAATTCATAGAAATCTTGTGTCAAAAAATTAACTCCCTTGTCTGGTGACTTTGATGAATTTTTGTAAGCATACACTATTATGTTTTAAATCTGATGAATTGGACCTTCGTGTTGATAGATAGCAATAACTGGTTGTTACAGGTTCCTGACTTGTGGCAGGCACTCAGTAATTTGTGTACCTTGTCGAACCACCCGGCTTTGAGCTTCAAAAGTGTAAATTATGCATGACAATCTTTTTTTCCTTTAAAATTTTGTATTAAGGTTCAAGCATTTTTTTTTAACATTTAATCACAAACAGATATAATTCAATAATTTACTAGGTTTACATGGAATTAATAAGTTAAAACATCATTCTTTGTGAGATTACAAATCTTTAAAGAGTCTCCGTCATAGATCTAGTATGTTGGCAGGGGTCAACATTTAAGTTTGACTTTTCCTTTATTTATTATGATATTTATTTCTGGACTAGACTTTTGAATAATCAATTACAATATAAATTGTATAACAACAAGTGACGGATACACAGCAGTGCATTGCTCTTTTCCATTCGAATAATCATTCGGTCTGTCACCTCAAATGCAAAGCCTGCTGATGAGACCCATTGCATATGATTCCATTTCAATTAGTGTAAAGAGGAAGAAATTCACAAGGCCAAACAGACGCCAAATTCATTGATTAAATTTTAGGTATCATTTCCAAAAAATGATATTTTGAAGTATTAAAGTAAGATTTAAAAAAAATAGAAAGTTTATCAATACGTAGTTATCAGAGAAGATGATAAAACCCATCATTTTTTGTGAATAATTGTATGTGTTATATTTGTTTATTAGATACATCATAGATTACAGAAACAAAAAAAATCGAATTGTCTATCCAGCACCCAGCACTAATAAAAAGTAAGACAATAAAAAGTTTCGATACATTTGATTAATTTACTCTATGTGAAAAGAATTCTTGTTTGTTTATTTCAGTAACACTTTGTCATCATTTATGAATGTAAAAAAAATGTTTAAATCGAATTTTGTACATACGACAATGTCACGGATAGATGAGTGATGGCTTAGAAGGAGTCTATACTTATATAAGAAATGACTAATAGTTATCAAAGGTACCAGGCTTATAATTTGATACGCCAGACGCGCGTTTCGTCTACATAAGACTCATCAGTGACGCTCAGATCAAAATAGTTAGAATGCAAAACAAGTATAAAGTTGAATACTTTAAACAAAATAACAATTTAATATAGTACAAATTTACAAATAATAAAATTAATTTATACTGGTAAATGTTCAAATAAAACTGTTCCTTCTGTTTAACTATTTTAATTGAATTGCTGCATGAAAATTATACTTCCGGTTTACGGATTTGGTTTTTGAATGCTCATCAACACTGGCCCACTATAACGTGTAAACGTTACACTTTTTAATTTTAATTGTTTACTGTAAAGACAACTAATAAATACTGTATCAAAAATAGGCAACCGTAGTTTACCGATGTTCACAATTTGACTAAGTAGACAAGTTAAGGTAACAAACCAAACACTGAGGTAATCGTATGTGCTCTAAAAGACCGAGCCCTGGTGCGTCGATACGGTAAGTCTCCTGCTACGAATGCATAACTAATTCACACTCAGTCAAAATGTCTCAATCGTTACAATTACTGTTAGACGACTATTCTGGTACCTTAAGATCTAAGACTGCGGAAGTATGTCATTAGTGAGTTGCGACACAGACATATCGTATCGGTTAACCAATTTGTTGTGGTGACCGTATAATTGTGTAGTGTCGATTTCAGTCTTTCTACCGCATAACTCTGTGCAGTTTTTTGTGTATGGAGCATACCTCTGCTAATGAAATAAATCCGTATAGTGTGAACATGCACGAGCGTAACTTATCAATTGATATATGTAAACGTTTATGCTAGTGCAGAGGGTATGTTACTGCTGAGAAATGGTAAGTTGGAAAATTGAAATCATGATCACGTTTGTCATAGGTTCTAGCTGAAGTCGTTCATCAGTGTCAATATCGTGGAAAAGATCAAGATATGAGGCAAAACTTTTTGTTTTGGTATTATTCTTCATCTTAAATTCACTATGATATATGAAATGCCAGCACTCACTGAAACCTGTGTTATTGAGTGATAGGACACTATAATTAAATTTAAAAATGAAATTAAAAAAATTTGCAAGATTTGTTTTTTGGGTCTCTGAGTAGGTTTTGTGTCCATTCTGCTTCATAGGAGTACAAAAACAAGTCGACCCGAAAATGTGCACAATTGATACCTATTAGAATAGTCCGGCATTTGTATTACATCACCTTCGGTTGGTTTATTTTTGGAATCAGTGTTGTTTTTCCCAAATAAATTTTCATGACTAAAAAATAACAAAATACGTATTTACGAATCCCATTTTTGTAGAAAAAAAAACTCTGTTTAATGAGATTTTTCAATTAGACACGGGGATTAGTAGTACAGCGTGGAGAAAAAGAAAAAAGGTTTTGATATAACTGCAAAATTATAAAGAATGTGATTGAAGATTTTGCAGTAGATCCTTATATTTTGTAAGAATCCACATCTGATTGACACGGTCGGTAGAATACACCTCATCACAAGATGATTGGCGATAAGACTTTAGGTGTAAAAACCACCAAATCATAGTACGTTACATCCGGTTTCATACGAAAAAGGGTCGAAAAAAATATTCCCTCTAATTTTACTGTAGTAGGAAATTAACCCTGCATAATATTGCAGAAAAACATTGCTGAGTCATAAACATGTACCTTGTGTGTTTCAAAGCATCAATATTTTTTATTTGCTGTTCCTATAAAA